CCCGTTATCGTTAATATAACACGCGCTGTGATGGGTAGGTTTAGGTGTGGGGTAGGGTAGGGGTAGTCTCATATTACGCTATAGGATTTATGACGACTTGGGTTCGTGTGTTATATTAACGATAAAGGGTGCCATGTGCGTCTATAGAGGCCGTTTTGTCATAGTGTTCTATGTATAGCCAGACCGATATATCGGCAGGCCGATATTATTGCGAATATCAGTTATTTTTCCAGTATCGGCAGTTATAAAGGTAGCTTATAAGGCAATGTAGGGGACTAAATTATTTTTTATTTATCAGAACTTTAATATTTTTGATGTTCCTCTGTTCTGTTGTGACAAAAAAAGAAACAAGTTTCTTTTTAAAATGCGTTATCATATTATTAGTTAAAACTCATAAATAACTACAAATACTATGTTAGGGAAATCTGTTAATGTTTTGTTGTGCGTTTCTGAAAAAAAAAAAAAAAAAAAATATATATATAATATAATATATATATCGGCCTCCCGATATATCGGAATATTCGGATTTTAAAACCAACAAATATTTGTATCGGTATCGGCCTTCAAAATCCTTTATTCGGTCGGGCTCTAGTTCTATGTGACGCTAAAGGATGAGAACGGGCTGGTAAGACTTAATACAATGTTATTTTTGAAAAACCTGACACTATACAAAATCATGCTTACATGAAGAATTTTTACTATTGTAAAAATACCGTTTATGAGCATTAGCGGAAGTGAAGATGTGAGAATCCGGCCAACCATGTTCGAAGCGCCGCATGAAGTCGAAACACCTATTGGCTCAAAAATTAACACGAGAACTGAGTGCCTCAGGTATTCTTCTGGTATTATAGGCACAGTATAACGAAAAACGAAAACTGTTCAATTAGTTAAACCACTGCATTTTAGTTGAATTCCTCTAGCCATCTGATCTGAATGCATCAGCGTGTCGGCTGTTTTTTCCAGTGTGTTTTTGTGTCGGGTGTGTGTTTATGTCATCGCCGCACCTGCTCCAAAGTCCACCAGGACGCTACAACATCTCATTATCGGGCCGTTTTAAACCAAACGCTCCTGCTCTCACTTCTGTTTTAAATTAGAGAGGCTTTTTCAGAGGTCACATGAAATGAGCTTTTAATTAGTGTCAGCCATCAGTTGATTTCCTCTTTATTGAAGCGTCTCTCTGGATACCTCTTTGTAGTTAAATTGATCAGAGAAGCACTCACAAATACACATACAAATCACTGTCAAAAGTTTGCAGGAGAAGAAAGTTTGTCAAACAAAAAGAAACCAACAAATATTTGAAAAGACGGCACGGTTGACTGCCAGCAGTGTATTCAGTCAGCACCTTTGTTGCATCCCCGTTTAATTAATAAAGGGCCATTAAGCGCTCGTTGACAAAGGAGGATAATATACAGCCCCAGCTGGTGAGGGCGGAGGGAATAAATTGAGGGAAAAAGAAAGGAGAGACGACCATTTGGAAGTTTTGCACTACAAATGAGGATATAGAACAAGTACAATCGTGATTGAAACGGTAAGAGCAGGAGTGGTTGAAAAGGCCGACTCTAACTCTGTAAGACATGGGCAGAAAAAAGAGAGGACACATGACAAGCCTGGGAGGAGATGTTAGTAAAAGCTCAATGTACTTTACCAAAGCTAAACTTATAGAATCCTTCATAAGCTGAATATTGCGCAGATAGAAGTGGCTGTGATTACAAGAGGTAAAATACTATATAAATACTGTTCGTTTTCTCACACGCAAACCGCTGTATTGTGTCTTAGGCATCAATGTGTACTTACATTCACAAAAGTCGTTAAATCATGTTTAATTTGGACTTTTCTTTGCATGCTCTTTGAGGTGAACCAAGGGTGGACCCCATAAACTTCCATTATATGACTGACAGACAAGAACAGTTTGACCTAGAAATATCAAAAATTGAAAATTCTCTGGAAACAAAGATACCCTACATCATGGATGCCCTTGAGGTAAGCTAAAACATCAAAAATTAATTTCAAAGTGAACTATCCCTTTAATGCCAGTGGACGTTTGGAACTCTTCAGCTATGGAATCAGAAGAGCGTTGATGACTTTAGTCCATATGGTGTGTTTGGTCACATGATGCTTTAATCATAAGAAATCCAACATGACATCATGACTTTTGCGTAAACATACACGGCACTTTCGAGTCAAGTGGCGTGTTATCTCTACGCATTTTGAGCTATCCGCGTGTATGCGTGTATGTCTATGCCATTAACGTCCGAGTGATTCCGCATGTCTGTACACGCCGTCAAATGTCCGCCAAAACAAAGCAAAATGTAGATCTACATCTGGGGAGCGATCTCTTTTTTTCCTAGGATGGTAAGGAAACTCATAAATGCCATTAACCCCAGTGACGGTTAGGTTTAGGGATGGGGTTGAGGTAAGTCATATATTTATATATACAGTAATAACTTTAAGTCAACGGCGTTCATAAACACGCTGAAAAGCGATTATGCGTCTTGATAGCACGCCAAAAATGGAAATACGAATTGGCGTGTCATACACACGCTACTTTCATGAGATCAGTCTGAGAAATCACTTTTAATTACAAGAAATCCCTCAAAACCCCAAATATGACAATTAATCCTAAAACAATATGATTAATATGATCAATATCATCATTATATACACAATATATAATTTTTATTCATTATATTTTATATAATAATATGAATAATAAATAGAATAATAATGAATGAATAAAATGATCTATACTCCACTAGCAACACTGCAAGTGAAGCTTCACTCTGAAGAGGTCAAGAGGTCAGACTGTAGCATTTGGAAGGGCTATTGTAAAATGTTAATTTGCTATATTAATTTGTATTTCAGAGTTCATCAAATTTGAAGTAAAAGATCAAAACTTATAAAGGAGATGGAAAGATATTTACTCGCGGAGTATAGATAAAGACAACATGGATGACTTTTTTTCATCCAAGTTCTTTCCACCTAATATACTACAAAAAATGCATAGATTAGGACAATTTACATACTGTAAAAGTTTTGATAAGAGGAAGGCATGCCACACACGAGGAACAAAAATAAAGCTGGAATAAAGAATTCAAAACAAAAAGTGAAATACATTTTTTATTCAAGGGATCAAGTCCGTCACTTTTGCAACTTTCCTTTTTCATCCTCCACTAACTCAACCCCTTGTTAAGGAGACAAAGAGTAATTTAAATCGATCTAAAAAGTGCTGCAATTACAGAATCCCAGGCTGCAATTCTATAAGAGGGAAATGGATTTCTCTGCCCATCTGTGCTATATGGCCAAACCATGAGACCTGAATATAAAACACGGACTAGATAACAAAACCAACCACCTGAGAGCGCTTTTCGGCCAACATTTTCCCTTCAGCTTTGTTGTAAAACATATCCAGGACTGTCTTTTATGGCTCGCCGCAATAATGCCGTGCAGAAATCCATAAGACGAGCCTTGTTGTGAAGTTTTACAGTGACAGAAGGCAATACTTCCTAAAGCTGAAGGACAGCAAGAGGTCAGGAAACTAGCTGACTTATTCCTCAGGCAAGTTTTCTGGAAACTTCTACCTGACCTTGAGAAGTACCCAATGCAACTTCCGTATTAAACTCATACAGAAGAACTCAAGACGTCCATTTTAGACTCCCACCATAACGTACTGAACTGGCAGCACATAATGAGTGAATAGCCCATGTGTCTGACAAGCCAAATACAATAGCGACACGCCATCTACAAAGCACATTGCTGGTTTATGAACTAATAAATTTGTGGCATTACCTCTAAATGACACAATAAATAACCAATATTCCTGAACGGATGACTTGACCTTACTGTCCAGGAAGAAAATTGCGCTTTTTACGAAGAGGCTGGCGATCAGTTTCACGCTAAACTCAAAAGACAGATTCCCAAAGTGGCAATTACCGTTTTGACATCCATTCTGGAGAAAAAATAAAAAAAAAGTGACCAAAAATACTTTCAAAACTGAACAAAAGAAAGATGGCTCTTTAATGAGATCAGGATATGGAATAGCTTTCAAACCCCAATATGGCAGCTAGCTATTATTATCTGTTGTCTTCACAGTCAGTATCATTTCAGGGTTTGGCGATAGACGATCCTAGCGGTTTTCAGCTCATCTATATTTATATAGGAAAGCGGCACTAATTTTGGTCATTACATTTACCTTGCCCGACACACACACGCATTCAATGACCTCTGAATTCCACAATGACGCAGCAAGAGCGTATTCTAACAAGACTCAAACTCCACAGTGTAATCCATCAACACACTCGTATTTGACACGCTGAAGGAAGAGCTTGAAATAGGCAATTATTGAACCATCTCCTCGATTTACACCCATCCGCACTTCACCTTCACATGTAACTTTGTGGATATGGACGCCATGTCAAGGCATCACTGGGTCAAAAATCAGTCTTTGCAGGCCGTGTGGTTTGGTTTCGCCATTCCCGCCATCAATTTGACTTGGAGACTGAAGGGTGAGAAGCGAGCGAATGAAAAAAGAGTAAGACGACGAGGAGAAAGTGAGACAGAGGTCTGTTGCTCGAGGCACTTGATCTGGTGCGGGTGTCCTCTCGGATCGCCTGACAGATAATCCATTAAATGTTTCAACCCGCTGACAAGGATGGATTTCAGAAAACGCCGGTAAACACACATTCTTGTATGTAATTATGGATAGTGGATTAAAAACACATTTTAGACAATTATTCTAATGGTCAAAGTAAAGAAAAGAGAGAAAAAAGTCGAATTTTTCATTGAAATATTTTATTTTCACTATTGTTGACTCATTTTAGATTTACATTAACTTTGAAAAGACATTCAGGATTAAAAAAAAATAGCTATTTATATATTGATCATGGGTGTTTAACTTGTAAAACATCCTCATGATAGGCACAGTAGAAAAACCAAACCACTTTGTTTATTAAAAAAAAAATCTAATTGAATATACAATATAATGCACCGATTTTTTTTATTATTTTTTTACATGTAATCAGGAAAACGTACTTCAATAACTTCAATATTGCATTTAATGTTGAATAACCATGTGACAGTACTAATAAGTCTTATCACACTCTTATAAACAAGACAAACCAAAAATCTGACTGGGACGGTGATATCATATGGAGATTAAGAAATCAATATCAGATTTGAGATGTATTTCACAGTTCAGTTGTATAAAAAAAGTGAGGCTATTCCACTACATGTATTGTTTCATGGTTTACTTAAGGCGATAAACATTAATATGGAATGCAATTAAGCAATTTTTTATCTTTAAATTTTAACTTAACAAAAAATAAATCCATACTCATAATCAAAAAAATGCTTAAAGTAAGGCAATGAATGCTTTAGAGTTATTTATTTAACTATAGAAATGGCTGACAAAAATGCAGGAAAAGATGCCTCGCATTTTCCAAGAAAGTCCTGGATTTGAGAGTCAGATTTTAGGGGCTCCAAAACAGTTCTGTTCCTGGAAAAAAACTGGGCAGACTGGTGTGTAGCTGTGGTTCAGAAGGCGGGTGAGAAAAGAGGCTTCTTCTCAGGAATTGTGTGCCGTTTTCTCTGTGAATGAAGTGTGTAAGGCTGTTTTGATTGTGTCATAGGGAGGCAGGCCACAGCTCTGTTGGTGTATGTATAATAATGGTATGTTTGTTTTGAGAATGTGTGAATACATGTATGATTTTATTTCCTGGCAATGGCAGCAACAGCTTTCTTGGCCGCATCATCGAGGTCACTGGCAGAGGTGATGGGAAGCCCGCTCTCAGACAGGATGCGCTTTGCCTCGTGAACATTGGTTCCTGAACATGGAGACATAACAATGGCAAAGACACTTTGGTTAATGGGGATTTTTAAGCCTTTACTTTTATTCTGACACACAGATTCTTATCATTAGATTCTTTAATTGCCTATTCTTTATGTTTGTCTGTGTATGCATATATATATATATATATATATATATATATATATATATATATATATATATATATATACTGTATGTATGTATATATCTCCACTGTTTCCAATAACAGTTTTTTGCTTGGACATAGCATTTTAAATGTAAAAAAAAAAAAAAAAAAAAAAAATGTGCATCTCAGTTTCACAAATATTTATAGTTGTAATATGCATATTATAATTATATATTATATAAATATCATATTTTAATTATTATTTATGGCTAATATGTATTATCCAATTGCTTAATACAAACAAACTTAACATTTCTGAAATACCAAACTTATACTTTAAATCTATTGATTATATTTAGTTTAATTATCTATCTATAAATATCAAATTAGTATAGGTCTAAAATATAAATGCAAATAAAAAAAAATAAATAATAATATAATTGTATTATATAATATTTTATGAATCGAAATATGAACAATAATACAACATAAATAATATAATATGTCATTTGAATACTGACAAACATATCATGAAAAACAATCATTCATATAGACCAACATATTATAAAGTAATATGTGCAGATATACATACTAATTATTTGTAGTTTTTAGACAAATTAGGTTAGGTCTATAATGTTGACGAAAACATAATGAAAACATAATATAATTTAATAATTAGTTTAAAAAATATATATTCAGCCTAAATTTTAATGCGTCCCTATCATGATGTACCATCCTTACAATAAGGCCTAACAAGGAAAATCTTTCTAGATTTAAATAAAAAAAGTCTGCGTTTTCTCCAAAAACTGAGTTTGGGGAGTGCGTCTCTGCTGGTTTGAAGACTCAGTGGTTTCGAAAATGTGTTAGGATCGTTCCATTGGCTAAAAAGGACAGGAAATGTTCCATTGGCTGGAAATGCAAGTGCTCTGTTTGCTGGCCGGGGGGGACGTGTTGGTGCCAGCTGCAGAGGTCCCGAATGAGCACGCGCTGGATCATTTTGCATGGGCTGCCCTTGCGGCCTCCACAGTGACTCTGAATGTCACTGAACTATGGCCCCCTGACACAGGGCCAGGGCCCGGGGCCAACACAATAAAACAAATCAGAAATCTGAGGATGGATTGAGAAGGAAAGGAAGAAAGACAAGAAGGAAAAAGGAATGTCAGGTGTGAGATGAGAGGAATGACAGACAGAGCACATGTTGAGCAGCTGGTGATGACAGAGGTGATGATTTCACAGGTGAATGTGCAGCTCCAGGGGGAGAATATCACACGCTCAGAACATGTGAAATGTGGATCTCTCTCTCTCTCTCTCTCTCTCTCTCTCTCTCTCTCTCTCTCTCTCTCTCTCTCTCTCGAACACTTTAATATCTTTTCAGAAATTTAAAAACAGATTTGAGCAAAAAGGTTGTCTAATTAATATTTTCCATTACATTTTTAAATTTGCTTTTAAAATTAATGTAAAACTTTTACAAACATTTTTTCCACTTTATTATGTATTTAATTTTAATTTATAATCTACATCATAATTTTAAACTTTATTGTATTTTATATTTTATTTGACTTTTCATATACTTATCATGAAAAATTGTATTTTTCATTTAACTATTATATATTTTATTTACGTTTTATAAACTGTATTATAATATATCTAATGCTCTAATCATTCATTCATATAAAGATTTACTTTTATTTAACTATTATATATTTAATTTGAAATGTATAAACTATTATATTGCAATATTTTATTTAATTATTCGTGTACTTATTTAAACATTTTTAACTATTATATTTTTTATTTTCATTTAATTTTACTTATTTAATGTTTTAATTTAACTTCTTTTAAGTACTGTATATTTAAATGTATTAACTTTTATATTTTAATGTTATTTAATTATTCAAATACTTATTTATTTATATTTTTATAACCAGTTTTTTGTTGAAATTTAATGTTTTTCTTTTATTCACATACATATTTAAAATTGATTTTTTATATTATGCATTATATTTAATAATTGATTACTTTTAAATGTACTGTATCTTTAATTTTAAATGGAACTTTATTTATATATTTAAATGGTTAAATATACATTTTACTGTAGAGATTTACTAGAAAATAATAGAAGAAAAGGGGGAATGGGGGTGAGCCCAGCTTGAACCTGCATCACCCACATGCGCACCACAAATCTACATATATACATATACATATATGTATATAATGAATCTCTATAGCCATGTATAAGTATCTCTCCACGTACATGTCTGTCTGTGTGAGTGTGTTGTTGTTGTTCTGCAGTGTAATTATGATAATACTTGCTCTCTCAGGAGAGAGGATGTTCTAATCAATAGCAGTTTCATGAGGAATTCAATTACCAGCACCACTTAACTACTGATATTTCAGCGCTTTTGTCCGCTTGCACAATAACTCATTTCTAACACGTCTCCCACATTTGGCAGCACAAAACAATCAATTGTATAATTTCATTAGCAGAGGACGAGGGCGAGCAGGGCCGTGTGCTGGGAGGATAGAATATCAGCCGACTGACACAATGCTGAGTCGTCTAAGGGCAACGAGAGCAAACTTTAAAAAAAAAAGCCATGAAAAATACTGACACACACACTGAAGAGTTTTATGTTCAGACTGCTATGAGCTGCGGCACTTTGATGGCCTTGTGTGTTGTATGTTTTCTTTTTTTAAGTGTCAGTATACATACCGAATAAGTTGTGAATGTGGAGATGTGTACAGTATACTGATCTCAGCTTCCAAGAGCTGACATGACCACAGGTTTGTACTCATTTACTGCCACTAGGTGCTGCTAGAGACCAACTTAACACCAAAACCAAACAGAATGAATCCATATGGAATAGCCTATGAACGAGGCATACACTAGAATAAAGTAATCTTTAAAAATGCTTTTTAAAACCGTTATTCCAAACTGATATGATATGCCTTAAATTATTGTATGACTTCCAAAATGAGTGATACACATCCTATTTTAGGAGATTTTGATGTTATTTTTAGTACAAACAAGCAATTTACACTATTGATAAACACAAAAATATAAGAATTTTAAATCATATCTAACTACAACTATAGTTTATGACATACATAGCCCATTTGTTTACACAGACAGTGCAGAATCCGAATATACACTCACCTAAAGGATTATTAGGAACACAATACTAATACTGTGTTTGACCCCCTTTTGCCTCCAGAACTGCCTTAATTCTATGTGGCATTGATTCAACAAGGTGCTGAAAGCATTCTTTAGAAATGTTGGCCCATATTGATAGGATAGCATCTTGCAGTTGATGGAGATTTGTGAGATGCACATCCAGGACACGAAGCTCCCGTTCCACCACATCCCAAAGATGCTCTATTGGGTTGAGATCTGGTGACTGTGGGGGCCATTTTAGTTCAGTGAACTCATTGTCATGTTCATTTGAAATGATTCGAGCTTTGTGACATGGTGCATTATCCTGCAGGAAGTAGCCATAAGAGGATGGGTACATGGTGGCCATTAAGGTATGGACATGGTCAGAAACAATGCTCAGGTAGGCAGTGGCATTTAAATGATGCCCAATTGGCACTAAGGGGCCTAAAGTGTGCCAAGAAAACATCCCCCACACCATTACACCACCACCACCAGCCTACACAGTGGTAACAAAGCATGATGGATCCATGTTCTCATTCTGTTTATGCCAAATTCTGACTCTACCATCCGAATGTCTCAACAGAAATCGAGACTCATCAGACCAGGCAACATTTTTCCAGTCTTCAACTGTCCAATTTTGGTGAGCTCTTGCAAATTGTAGCCTCTTTTTTCCTATTTGTAGTGGAGATGAGTGGTACCCAGTGGGGTCTTCTGCTGTTGTAGCTCATCCTCCTCAAGGTTGTCTGTGTTGTGGCTTCACAAATGCTTTGCTGCATATCTCAGTTGTAACGCGTGCTTATTTCAGTCAAAGTTGCTCTTCTATCATCTTGAATCAGTCGGCCCATTCTCCTCTGACCTCTAGCATCAACAAGGCATTTTCGCCCACAATACAGCCGCATACTGGATGTTTTTCCCTTTTCATACCATTCTTTGTAAACCCAAGAAATGGTTGTGCGTAAAAATCCCAGTAACTGAGCAGATTGTGAAATACTCAGACCGGCCCGTCTGACACCAACAACCATGCCACGCTCAAAATTGCTTAAATCACCTTTCTTTCCCATTCTGAGATTCAGTTTGGTGTTCAGGAGATTGTCTTGACCAGGACCACACCCCTAAATGCATTGAAGCAACTGCCATGTGATTGGTTGATTAGATTTGCATTAATGAGAAATTGAACAGGTGTTCCTAATAATCCTTTAGATGAGTGTATAATATATGCAACGGCCTTTAGGGCAGCAATGCCTATCTATCTGTACAAGCAAACTGAGGGGATCCACAAAATGATTAAATACAACATTATTCTGCTTGCCCTTAAAGCTGAAAGAGAGGTCAGTTTATTTTGACAATCATGAAACCAGACGGAGCGGTTCAAGTGCTAATACAAAGAAGGGAGAAGGAATATTGATATTAATCAAAATATTTAGATTTTTAAATTTGAAATCTGCCCAATGCATTTGAGTAAAGTAAACTTTGATGGCAACTGGTTGCACTGTTGGTTTGAACGGAGTAATACTACAGATCCAGCATGTTTAAGAACAAAATCCATAACAGGATGTTCATTATGTGTCATTGACGGCCTTAGGTGCCTATATAAAGGAGCTGATTGTAGAAAAGCTGGAAAAAGAGAGTACGAGTTTCACGCACACATGTATAACTGTGGTCTTTCTTGGAAAGGTGGGACTTATGGAGAGGCTAGGGTAAGAGAAGGGGCTGAATCAATAGACAGCTAATACAAACTAAACTCCAAGCTGGGAACCATCTTATAGCGATCTGTCAGACATGATCAGCCACAGACAGAGAGACAGAATAGAGGATCGATCTGTAAGCAGCATGCTGCCTCTTACACCCATTACCAAGGGCTTTCAGGCCACTGTGGCTAATTCACTTTTCCAGAGACGGCAGGCGAATGTGAGCCAGTATTGCTTTAAGGCATTTTCATTTGGATGGAAAATGCTTAGTGAAAATTGTGTCTCAGTAATTACTTTTGCACTGTGTATGATAAGAAGGCTTTTAGCCATTTAATTTAAAGGGGTGGTTCACTCTCAAAAAAATAAATAAAAATAATATATATTAGGGATGTGGGAGACTATTGACGACTAGTTGATTAAACAATACTGCTGCAAGACTTGGAAATACTAGTCTTTTATTTATATATATGTATATGTACATTTAATATTTTGCTTTGTATTATTTTTTACAAAGGCTAGTAATGGGGACGAGGCCACCTATACCGAGACTTTGAAGGGTCGAGTCCGAGTCGAGACCGAGTCCGTTGGTTTTCGAAATACAGTCGAGACCGAGTCTTTGAAGGGTCGAGTCCGAGTCGAGACCGAGTCTTTGAAGGGTCGAGTCTGAGTCCGTTGGTTTTCAAATACAGTCGAGTCTGAGTCAAGACTGAGTCTTTGAAGGGTCGAGTCCGAGTCGAGACCGAGTCTTTGAAGGGTCGAGTCTGAGTCCGTTGGTTTTCAAATACAGTCGAGTCTGAGTCAAGACTGAGTCTTTGAAGGGTCGAGTCCAAGTCAAGACCGAGTCTTTGAAGGGTCGAGTCTGAGTCAAGACCGAGTCGAGTCCGAGTCAGAGTCTTTGAGGAAGCAAGTCCTAGTCGAGATTTTGTCCCGACATATCAGTTTTGATATTCATGATTTAATATCACCCCAGTTAATAATCAACAGTTAGGCCTACAGACTAAGCTAGATTGGGAATTGTTTAGAGTAGTTGTCTTAACGTCTTAAAGGGATAGTTTACTTTGAAATGAATTTTTGGTATGTTTTAGCTTACCCTCAATGTTTTACCTTTTAGGTTTATGGTTCTAAAAGGCGAATTTGATGATGGCAGACTCGTTGCTCATCTTGCCGCCGCTCACCCCAGGGAGCAACCAGTGGTGGAACGTAACGAAGTAGAAATACTTTGTTACTTTACTTAAGTACATTTTTCACGTATCTTTACTTTACTTAAGTAGAATAAATAGTGCATACTTTTAACTTTTACTTCGTTACATTTTGCAGCAATTATTCTACTTTCTACTCCACTACATTTCTACAACTTCTGTTACTTTTTCATTACATTTTCTGATCAGTTTTTCCCCTGCCAAAACGTAATCTGACCGTCCGTTCGTTGCACGTTTGTCTCACCAGTGACGTTTGGTTGCCATAGATATATCAACCCGGTTACACTAAATGCGTCTCGCACGCAGTGTGTTTATCGTGCAATTTATACGCGAAAATTTGTTTTTATCTGCATAGGAAATGCACCGTTAGGATTATGGCAAGCCAAGAGGTTCAGAATTACACCATAAATGAATCGCGTTTACTGCCAAACATAGTTATTAATATATAGTAAGGATAAGCATGATGTGCATATTGCCTAATTGCAAGCTTGTATCAGAAATGGTGACAACAATTTTTTTTCCATCATTATTGAACATCATTATAGGAGTATTAGGTGGAACGAGTTAGAATTAAATGTTTTATTAATCATTAGACATTAAAAATAGACATTAAGAGAATAAATTGTTATGCAAGTACTTTTACTTTCAATACTTAAAGTACATTTAAAATCAGGTACTTTTTACTTTTTACTTAAGTATGGTTGTCATTGTGTTACTTCTACTTTTACTAAAGTAAATATTTATCTGTTTATTTGTACTTTTACTTAAGTACTGAGATTCAGTACTTCCACCACCACTGGCAGCAACTGAAGACACTGATGGCTCTGACAGCAGTATCTTTGCATTGCACCATGGGATGTCATTTTCAAATAATGCTCGCAAACATTGCATTTTATTATTATTTTTGTTATGTGTTTTTTTTTTATATATATGAACATAAAAAAAAATGCGCTGGAAAAATAATCTCGAGGACTCGGTCTGAAAATTACGAGTCCTTCTCCTCCCACTGTGGTCCGAGACCGAGTCAAGACCATGTCTTTGAAAGGTCGAGACCAAGTCAAGACCGAGTCTTTCAAGGGTCGAGACCGAGACGAGTCAGAGAAATCAGAAATTGGTCTCAAGACCGGTCTCGAGTCCAAGACCACGAGTACCACTCAAGACCACATGAGTACTACATCACTAACAAAGGCTACATTTAAATCACCCACATGTTTAAGTCAGGATAGGCGATTTGTTTAGGAAACACCTTTTGACATGCTGATTGAAAGACTTCACATCCTGATAGTAATCCGAGTGGTTTAAATGTATTTATTTGTGTATATATCTTCTGTGGAAGGGGTAGGACCATTAAATGGTCATTTCCAGAGCGCCTGAAATGACTGGATTTTTCCATGCGAAAATTCGCCAAGTGACAGTAAATGTGCCAGCACCTTCAGACAGAAAGTCATACAGGTTTGAAATGACAGGAGTAAATGATGACAGAATAGGTGAACGGTTTCTTTAACCATTTAAACTGTGTTCAATGACGTATCAGGCAAAATCGCCATCAGGTTTGGCCCACATGTGCATTGAAAGTGCAAATATTATCAGAAAATTAAATATAATGCGTATTTAATTTAGCTAAATATCTTCATGCTGCTCTTGTCCTATATTTAAGCGATCCTCAGAAGGACAGGCTACGGCATGGACAAACGAGGGGCAGGAAACTAATGGAGTGGAGTATATGACTCTCTCTGGGCAAAACGACTCAGCTGTTTTCTGCCAATTATCCTAATGGCCAGATGGGATCAGGCCGGACCTGGTGTCACACGAGCAAGTAGCATTAGCATACACAGGTGAGAGGTCCCGCAATCAACGCCTGGCCCCTCTGCTACTCTCACAGCCATCAACAACTGCTGTGTCGTGACGCGCTTGCTAACCAACACCACCAACAAACTCTTCACGTGACAGACATGGCTTTTGTTAAAGGGTTTTACTGAGCACATTTGAAAAAATTAAAAGGTATATTGGAACCTTTGATGCCAAAAATGGCAAATACTGTTTGGCCACACCCACCTTCGAGTCTGACCACCAGGGGAACCTTGAGCTCCAGTTCTCGGCAGGCCTTGGTGATGCCGTTAGCAATGATGGCACAGTTAACAATCCCTCCGAAGATGTTTACCAAGATGGCCTCTACCTGAATGGGGTAATAGAAGTGGAAAAAAATGCTTCATTTAGATAGAAATGTAGCCAGAAGATAAAAAGGCAAGAAAGAAAAACCTTCAGGGTTCTTGCATATTTTAACCAGCAAATGTCTATTATTACTGAATAATGTAAAAATGAAAAAAAAAAATAAAAAATAATCAATAGATTTCAATGCAATTCAACATTTTAGAGTTTACAATAGGAAAGTTCATATTCATGCTGAAAGACCATGGGAAATTCATGGCAATTTCTATTATTTATAAAATGATATAACATTTCCAATATTTCCAGGCTTTCCATGACTGGAGAAAACCCAAAGCTCACATGAATGAAGAACAGCTGCCAAATCGGCTATTAACACTAGTGTGCTAAAACCTTCATGGGGTTGGAAAAGAGATTTGGGGTGCTTAAGTCCTGAAATGAGCAGCCCACCTAAAGAGAAGCTGGATATTTGAGTCTCGCACGGTATCAGCTGTGCTAACAATGCTATATAATGACCATAATTCCTCAAAAGAAAATAAGCAGATTATACTTCAACACGATCTGACAATAATTTACATAAATGTATAGTAGCAATCAAAGGGGTATTAAACTGTGCAAACACACAGACACAGTCATAGAAAAGCTCATGATTGTGTTATACTCTTACAAGGGAAGAATTGAAATAACTCAATGTTAATTCATTTCGGTCAAATTAGCATGTCAACAGATCAGATTAATTAGGCATGTTTACTCAATCTGTGTAATCTGTGGAAGTGACTGCTGGTAATGATGTTTACATGTCTGAGGATTAGAGAGATATTGGCAGATTTTATCGAAAAATGCTGTTACACGCCCTGTCGCCTATTTGAATATACCGCATATTCGGAATAATAATTTAGGCAATACCAATGTCTTCTGAACATTGGGATGCTAATAACTTAATCATCTGAGGTCACACATCACATATTGCTTGTACTTCGTAATTTCACACTATAACACCATTATGCAATGTCATTGTAGCTATTTTAAAAGCACTGTGGCATTATTAACTTGTGTTCATCCTCCATTTTAAGCAGAAATTGTGAAATAATAATAATAATAATAATAATGACAAGAATAATATTACTACTACTACTAATAATAATAATAATGTGTAAAAAAAGGCCATGACACACTGTGTTGATCATGCATTACAAATGGTTAAGGAATATAATAAAAACATTTTACTTTTTTTTTTTTTTTTTTTTTACAATACTTTTTTCAGTATAATGAATAATAATAATTGGATAAAATAAATTAAATGAAAAAGGAAACGTGCCATTGTGAACTATGTGTTTATCTTGCATTACAAGTGGTAATGGAATGTATTATTATTATTATTATTTATAATAATAATAATAAATACATAATAATGATAATGATGATAACAATAAAATGTAAAACAAACAAAAAAAAATCTGAAATTTTAGACCAAAAAAATTGTAAAATTATAAATCATAATAATATTAATGCATAAAAAATAAATTATTTTTTGCCTACATGTAGAGTAAAATATTATTATAATTATGATAACTATCATTATTGATGATAAAAAAATAATAATAAAAATACATACATTGAAAACCTTGTTTTATATTAAATTGTTAACATTATGAACTGTTTATTCTGCATTAAGCACAAATTGTCAGTAAATGTAATAATAATAACAACAAAAAAGAGATTTAAGACAACATTTTCGATAATTAAATAGATTTTGCAGTGGATACAGCAAACGCAACAATTCTGACAGCCCTCAGAAAGGCTGATTCCCTGCACTTACTACTGAACTAGAGTGCAGACTGAGACCCAGACACACATACAGATAAAAAGCAAATCCAAATATGAAAAAATAAATAAATAAAAATAAAATCAATGATCAACCCAAAGTCTGACAGAGAAGAGAGACCGAAATAGATAGAAGCCTAGACTGACAGACAGGCAAGACGCCTCCTCCTCCTCCTTCAACAGGTACAAGCCCACCCGAGCAACCAGATGGCACATCCACATCTTTACATCCTGAGATATCACATACAGCTAGTGTCTCATTGTCAACTTGAGTTAAAAATAAATTCAAACCAAAACAAAAGGAAAAGAAAATACACCTGGCTTGGGTGTTGCTGACACAATAAAGGGGCGCGCAGTGCCAGAGACTCCAGCATGTGACCCTGGAACGGCAGATTTCCACTCACACAGCAGATGAGTGTAGGGTCTGTTAGTGGATCTGACAGACTGCATGGAGAGACAGAGAGAGAAAGCGTCTGTAATGTCCAGCTGCTGATGCTGGGACTGCCAGGTATTTACCACGACTGCAGAATATCTACATCTGTTGCGCGTTCCCCATCAATCCCCAACTGAACTATTGCAGATTACACATTAATGTACAACTCTAGCAGGATGTGGAGAGGAAAAAGCATGATATGTATGTAACTCTCCCCTAATAGCCGACTTAACGTTAGTCGAAAAAGAGGCTTAGTCGAATGAAATCGTATTAGTCGGCATTGACGAACTCATCTTTGCAGCTGAAACTGACTCAGAAAACACTTGTTTATAATAAATAATGAAAATATCTTCTTGCTTTTTTCCCCGACATATTCAAAATTATTACTTTTGCTGGTGCACCTATTAACTCTTTCCTCAACATTGACGGAAATTTCCAGCTTTTGAGTTTTCTGTGTTATACGGTAGGTGGCCCTATTACACATCTTCTGAAAGATTACGGAATAAAACACATGAAAAGAAGCAGGAACAAGCGATAGCATATTAAATCATATGCATATGTAAAATATGGTGATCATCAACATGAAACAGCATATAAATCAAAACTGTCTAATGTTACTGAATGGAATTTCAACCTAGGAGGACTGTGAGGCTTGTTTATATATATGTATATGTATATTTGGGCTGTCAAATGATTAATCACGATTAATCACATCTAAAATAAAAGTTTGTGTTTACATAATATATGTGGGTTCACTGTGCAAATTATTTTTTATATATATAAATACACACACATGCATATACATTTAAGAAATATTTATAAATCTATATACAGTTTATACATATATACAAGCATGAGTGTGTATTTATACATATAAAATATACACAGTTCACCCACATATAACAAAAACTTGTATTTTGGATGCGATTAATCACGTTTAATCATTTGACAGCCCTAATATATATATATATATATATATGTAAGGTGAAAACAAGATATGAATTACAATACATACATACAATATAAATTATGTGATAAATCTACAAGCAAATAACATTAAGATAAACCAAAATCTGATGTATTTTTTGTCAACTTAAGACTGAAATACAGGTAGATAATTAATGGTAATTTAATAGTAAAATGTTAAGATTTAAGATAGAATATATATATATATATGATTTGTGATGTCATTTCCTGTCACATTTGAGTGACATCTGGTGCATCATAAGCTCTGTGCTCTTCCTAGTAGCTTGAGGTTTACAAGCTGACATCAAGCTGGTTCTCTACAGTCCTCACACTGGCACTAGAGGGCAGCACAGATCCAAGAGCAACAGCACAGAGTCTCATCCTCCAAACAATAGCATATTTTTCAATTCAGCCTTTATTGTGCACAGTCATATATCTTCCAGTCATGCGTTTCCTATTGACATCTATGTTTATTAATGATACAGGAGGCATGATTTATGCTTTCTCGTACATGAGTAAATGCTGCTTCGTAAAAATATAGTGCACTTCGCTCAAACTGCCAGTGGGATTTAGAATGAAAAAGAACAAACGCGATAGAAACTGTCAGAGGTGCAGGATCTTGTTTTCTCACTCTCTCTTTTTTTTCTAAACAAACTCGTTTCGTTTCACCGTTGGAATGTCGGACTACACCTCCAGGCTTGCACATTCTGAAGCAAATTTCAAGCATATTGAATTAATGTTAAAGTGGAGCACACGCAACTCCGCTTAAATAAAAGCAGGCTTTGCTTATGACAGTGAGATGAAAAGGATGGATGAATGTGTTACAGGTAATGACGCCGCAGAACACAGAATATAGTGTATTGATCTAGAAAATAACTTTGTGTATATGCTAAACATGAACCTTCTTACTCTTGAGAGAGAGAGAGAGAGAGAGAGAGAGAGAGAGAGAGAGAGAGAGAGAGAGAGAGAGAGAGAGAGAGAGAGAGAGAGAGAGAGAGAGAGAGAGAGAGCACTTGTTTTAGCCATGAACAAAAAATCAAATTGGTAAATGCTCTTTTTTTCTTGCAGTTTATACTTTATATTACAATTCTGAGAAATACAAATTCTGAAATCTCACATTTCTGATACTTCTCCTTGCAATTTCTTTGTTTATATCTCACAATTCTGATTAAGAAGAAATAAAGTCAGAATTGCAGTACAAGTATAAACTCACAATTGCGAGGGAAAAAAAGTCAGGAGATAAAAAGTCTGATTTACCTTTTATTTAATATATCCCATTGTGGATACAAGCTACTGTAATGATACGAGATACTGTAATGTTTGAGCCAAACAATCTGCATTTTGAAGAGTTTTCTGCGTCTAAATAAGCAGAAAGGTGGCTCAAACAGTATCAAGCTCTCTTAAAGGTGCCCTAGAATGTTTTTTTTTTAAATTAATTTATATTTTCTGGGTTTCCCTTATGGTGCGTTCACACCGGACGCGAATGATTTCAATGTTAAGTCAATGCAAAGATGCGTTACACGCGTAAAAAATTCCTGCGGTGAGAATGAGGCGTGGAGCGCGGCGCGGAAGATGCAAATACGCCTCGTTCGTGCGAATGCCGCGAATTGAGCGTCTGGCGCGTTAAGCACGTTACTTGACAGCGGCCGTCATCCAGTGCAGCTCCTGGAGCGAGCAAATGGTGAAACTCGCCAAACGGTACACCTCAGAAGGGTCCGGAGGACACAAATATACGGCGACGATGATCCCCACGCCACTGTTCTGCTCTCGAGAGTAAATACAGAGCG